CCATTGATTCGGGCTGGCACCGCCGATTTCCAGACGGCGTGTTCTGGAAACGCGCTTGGGTCAGTTGTCCCCTCGCATTTGCTGCGACTTCTGTGCTCTTTCGATCGCGAGGAGCCCGCCTTGGTCCGTGCGGCCGAGGAAATGTAAGTCGGACCTCGAGGACCGACGCGCGCTCGCACGCGCGGGGAGCGGCGGCCCTGCTGCGCTGCGGGCCGTCCCCGGACAGGCGGCCTCGCGGCGCCCTGCGCTGGAGCGGGACGAGGTCGGCTCTCGGCCAGAGGCTCGCCCTGCGACTCGTGCGCGGGGCCCCGCTCGCCCCTTCTGGCTTGGACGCGGAGGCAGAGGGGGCTCCTCGCTGGCCTGGCTCCCTTCCTGGGGGCGTCTGGAGTTCAGCCTGATTCAGCGAGTCCTCTTCTGCCGACTGGCGCCCTGGAGAGCCTCCTCGCAGATACTTGTTTTAGGGCACAGGGACTTAGGTTTTAGAGACTCCAGTGGTGTGTGTTACCTGTAGTTCTATTGGAAGTTCGCAGTGGTTTGTTCTCTTAGGCTGTTACCATCCGTCAAACATAGAGGCCAGCCACCATGCTTTCTTGAGAGTTTCCTTCGGAGCCTGTGTCCAGGAAGTTTTGATCCTGCTTTCAAAAACCAGGCAAAGCACTGCAGAGAAGGCTGCCCTTGGCCTTCACAATGGTCTTTGCTGGTATGGGGCAAACACGTGGGAATCGGGGTCTTGGAGAAATGGGTTCAGGAAGCATTGAGGAAGCGTAGAAGGTCATGTTGCACAGAACTTCCTGGGGAGTTAGTATCCGTCTTGGTCCTGGTTCTGGTCCACAGTGGCCACAGGTGGGTTAGATGACCTCAGGTGGAGCAGATAGCCCTCCGGAATAACCACCCACCCCTGGGTAGAGTTTCCTCCCGATTTTCTAAATAGAGCTCTTGTTTAAAAGAGAAGAAATAATTACTAAGTATCTTATTCAGTATTTTCCCTGAGCTGGCTGCTTTTTAAAAAGCAGTTTTGCTCCTGGCAGTGGGACTATAGCAGGAACACGGGACTGCAGCTTTTGAGTCTGGCCTCGTCTTAGTCTGTCTCGCATCCTCAGCTGCTTGAGTCACAGCTCGGGCTGGGCTCAGGCACGGTCTGGGATGCTCTTCTGGCTTCTTGCTCCCTCTCTGCTGGCCAGCGCCAGACCTGGCTTCTGAGCAGGGAGGGGAGCCAGCCACCCCTGTTTTAGCACCCAGCCTGCATCCGAGGCGCACCAGGAGGGTTGTTCAGCTGTGTGATTCTAGCAACTATTTCCAAGGCTTTCTGAAGCCTTTCCTGTTGTTGGATGCCATCCTGTGCAATCTCTCCTACAGGGCATTTACCACAGCCTGGGAGGAGTTACCTTCATTCTCTATCTGCCCTACCATTTGTAAGCGCCTTAAGGATAGGCAGTGAGCCCATTATCTATCTCGTGATTACTTCCAAGTAGAAGGTGTTCCTTAAATTTTTACTAAAATTTTATTTTTTTATTTTTTTTAAAGATTTTATTTATTTGAGAGAGAGAGAATGAGAGATA